GCAGCCCCGGCCACGTCTTGACCGGGGTATACTTACTTGTGAGGCCGGGCGAAGGGGGGGACTGGGACAGGGGGGGTTACGAAATTTGCTGCATGCAGCTGGTTTCGGCCTCACCGAGGGGCCCATTCCTCGATACATAGCCGCCTCCGGCGCCGGGAGGCGCCGGGAAAATCAGCTACGTGAGCTGATTCTCGGACCCCCCCTTTGCTATCCCCTCCTTTCGCCCGACCCGAACTTGGCGTCGCTCGGACGTGTGCATTTTCCCTTCGGCGAGGACCATCGAGGACCATCCTTGATCATTTGGCGAAAAAACCACGTACGAAACCGAAGAAAACACAGGGGATGGACGTCCGAGCGATGGCGAGTACAGGGTCGAGGTCTGTTCGGGGAGGGTGCCCTGCTCTTCGTGTTTGTTGGACGTTCTTGTGCATCTTGGGGAGGGCGCCCTTGGACATTCGGTCGGTTTTGGCCGACGGAGGGTCTCATGTTCTGTCAGCCACGCGCAGGGGGGAGGGGGGAGGGCTTCAGAGGCCCCCCTGTTTCTCAGAAGGCGCGGGCCTTATCTATAGATGCAAGGCCACCGGCTTCTAAGAAGCAGCCTCCTTCTAAGAAGCCTCCCCCCCTCCCCCCACCCCCTTTTGTACGCGCCGCCAGTTCTTGAGGGATGTTCTTCGGTCTCGGGTCCGACTGCACCGCCCACTTCTGGCCCCCCCCTCGCTCCAGGAGGCCTTCGGCAACCCGAACCTCGGCGGGCTCGTCGTCGTCGTCGCCGTCGCCGTCGTCGTCGTCGTCGTCGATTTCGTCGTCGACTTCCTCGTCGACTTCCTGATCGTCGTGAGCTGAGGAGGAGGAGGAGGAGGAGGAGGAGGAGGAGGACGAGGACGAGGACGAGGACGAGGACGAGGACGAGGACGAGGACAAGGAGGAGGAGGTGGAGGAGGAGGAGGAGGAGGATCGAGTAGCCGTTGCCCGCTCGGGGTGCGGCCCGCGGGGACCCACGGCGGGCGGTGGCAGCGCGGCGCCGCCATAGGGTTCGCGCGGGGGGGAGGACCCCACCACACCCCCCGCCGCATGGGCGGCCATCCCGTGGCTGCGCCCGCGCCCAGGGCGGCCTGGCCGACGGCCAAGAGGCCAGAACCCGCCTGGCACAGGCGCGCGAGGCGCCAGAGGGCTCGGGTCAGAGTGCTGTTCCGCATCGCGAAGGCCCAGAGGCTGCCCCAGCAGCGCCACAGCAGCAGCACGATGGCACAGAGGCTACCAAGTCAATGGATATGTGTTGACTGTCAGCAGAAGAATCATCCGAATTGTTGGTCGTGTCAGCGTCGGAATTGCAAGAATGCGTGGAAGAAGCAAAACCGGACAGCAGCACATGAACGACGGCGCGAGAAGGAGAATACAGCGTTTCGTGAGGAAGTTCGGCGCGCAGTTGATGATCTTACGTTGTGGACATCCGCTTACGCTGTAACACATGCACTGTACGGGAACATGGGAAAGTACAAGCCGATGTTGGAAGAACAAATGACTACATAAGTTGGCAGAGGTGATTGTCCAGGGTCGAGGGCCCGGGACGAGTGTACATGTCCAGGGGACAGAGCAGAATGTTTGTATTGTGATGCGCTGGCAACTGCAGCCGCTTGTTATTCAGGGAAAGGAAGCGACAGCGAGCATCGCCATAACAGAAGACAAGCTGATCACTGAAGAGCACGACGAATATCCAGCACGACATCCCATTTGAGGAATAGCTGTTGTTGTACTACAGTGGCGGACTGAGGGAAGCTATGTCCAGGAACAAGATGGAGAAGGTGAGCAGCGGTGAAGATGACGGGCATGATCGGCGTCCTGCTCTGATTCATATGAGAGAGACGGCCCCAACAAGCCGCCTTCCCGCTCAATACCGCCGCCTCTACCACCTCCGCCAGGACCACTTCGGGGTTCAGTGGCGCAGGTGAGTGGGCGATCTGCAGGTGTAGCACCAGGTGTATGAGTACTAGCTGTGGATGGCAGACACCTTCTTCTAGCGGGTCACCAGCGCACGAGACCAAACCCGAGCCCATTGCGAGAGGACGGGTACGGGGGTTGACCTGATACCTCAGCGACCCCTTCTCATTCACCAGTGTCACGTGTACCTCGCAATTTGGCACCTGGCCCCCAGCTGGTGCGGTTGTCGCCGCCACCTATCCATAGCAGTGATGCGACTATTCCAGAAGCGCCGTCACCATCTCCGCAGTGCCCTGCACCAGCGCCGACGACGATTGCGATTCGGAAAGTGCACGATGAGGCGAAGCATTTCATTTCGAACAGCGAAAAGGTCATACATGGCGAGACGGAGGCAGTCAGCGTTCGAGCTCGCGAAGTCGAAACACAAGCGCAAGCGAAGATTGAGGCGATCACGAGTGAGAGAGCTCAGAAATACACATCGGGGCATGGGGCGATGCACGAAGCAGTGGCTAGGATGACGCACGTCGAGTGGCGAGCCAGTCGTGGAGCAGCAGCAGCGACACACCAGACCACAGTGGAGCACCAGCAGGAGGCAAAGTTCCCCGAGGAGCAGACGACAAGATACACATGGGAGGCTTTGCGACCCGGGGGAGGCGAGCACATGAGGCGCGAGACGAATGACCGAGGAGAGGGGAAACATGCTAGCAAAGAGAAAGAGATTCAAAAGGATATGGAGGCAGTTAGCGAGGCAGGGTAGTAGTGAAACCACATCGAAGGTGAGGTGAGCAAGCCGAGGAGCTCGCGAAACACAAGGCAAAAAGCTGAAGTGGCAGCGTACTTCGAGACGGCGTGGACAAAGTTGGCTTCGCGACCTGACGGTGCTGAGCACGAACGCAGCACAACAGTCGAGGCAATCTGGGAAGCTGGGGGGCGGGCCCAGTTCTGAGAGCAGGAGGCCAACAGCATGCACGCAGCCAAGGCAGGTTCATGCGGACCTCAGTGAGGACGTCGGACGCGCTAGACCCCAGACCCAACAGTGGAGACGAGTTCGAATTATGGGCAGACCGCAGCAGACTTGGAAAAAGAGGAAGGCTCAGTAAGAAAGTGATAGAGAGGCCTACCAGGAGCACATGAGCATCAAGGCATACCAGACGCTGCACCCAACACCGCCACCGACGATTGGAACATCAGCAACAACACGACGGGCAGATGGGTGGTTATTGGCCGAGGGCGATTCTGCCGTTGCGGACGCAGCGAGGATAGCGCAGGGCGAGGCCGATTACACTTTGCGGGCGCAGCAGCAGAGGTTATTGCAGGCGGAGGCAGCTACGGCAAGCGCATCCAAGCCACATCCGGCCGCCCGACCCCCTGCGCCAATACCATACACCACGAATTTTGCGGAGGCGGCGGGCGCCGCAGAGGCGGGCCAGGAGATCATTGTAGGGGGCGCGCTCGCAAAGGAAGCTCGGGCTGGGCGGGGCACGACAGAGGAGGGATGGGACATGGGCGCGCACGACGAGGGCGAGATTGGCGCGATCCTGCGCGGGCGGGCCGAGGGCGATGAAAGACTGGCCACTGAGAGGGCGGCCAAAGGCGCTCGCGCCTTCGATTTCCAAGAAGAGCCCGCGCAGAAGCAGGGCGAGGAGGAAGGACAACGAGGTCGGCAGCGTCAAAAGCCGGCGCGTCTTGAACAGGAAGTCGCACGAGCTGAACTTCGGCGGCGGGCGCGGGGGGCGCGCGGGGAGGAGGGCGTTGCTTCCGCAGGTGGCGGTGGGAACAGGGGGAAGTCCGCGCCGAGTGCCAGGCGGCTGGCGAGCGTCCAGATCCAGATCTCAGCGACGCACCCGCCGCGGCGAGAAGTTTCGGCGCCCGTGGAGGAGGAGGAGGAGAGGAGGAGGAGGACGAAGTCTCACATCGAAGCTTGCGGCGCAAAGTACCAGCGAGGAAGCGCGGGCCTGATTCTCTCAGCGCGGGGCCACCGCGTGCTGAGACCAATCGGACGCGCGGGGCTTCATCAAGGCGGGGGCAGTCGCCGGGGTCTCTGACGAGCGGCCATCACCAATGGAGGACACGCCGATCCCTTGGCTCCAGGGGACATGGAGCTGTTTCCAACGGCGGCAGCAGCCCCATCTGCCATGCAAGCCCGCCCCTTGCCGGCAGGCTCGCGAAGCGGTGCTTCTCGAACCGCGGCCGCGATGGAAATCTTCGGTTCTCCATCGCCAATTTAGCCACTAGTGCGTTCCATCCGCTGGGGTGGATGCCCCCGGCCTGGCCCTGCACCAAATCGCGATTAATTTCGAGCACAGTTACTTACAGTTGTGGTGGGAGGGAGCCCTCGCTCGCAGCATATCGAGGGCATCGCCGACGCGCGTCCCCTTGTCATCGCGAAGACAGGCGGCTTCGGAGCTAAGTGTGCCGAGTCATGACCACTGCGCCACGCATGCGCCGTCGCCGATCAACATTGAGTTCGAGCGACGCCCATGGCACACTCGCTTGCGACGGGACGCTGGGCGCATGAAGCTGTATCAACATGCGAGGATTTCCAGATCTGGAAGCGCATCCTGCACTCGATGACTCTGGGTCCATCTACCGGCGCTGCCAGCAATGAGCTATTCGCAGGGGGCGTACTTGTGCAGCGCCGAGAGGCAATGGAGTATCGGGCGAAGATGGATGTGGATGCGCGCAGCGCGCAGAGGGCCAACTTCGGGGACGTACTAGTACTACCTAGTGCTGGAGGGCGGAGTCGCGCGCAATACCTGAGGACGCAGTGCCAAGACGAAGGAGTGCATCCAGCAGGGTGCCAGGAGGCACTGGCCCTTGCGGAACCAAGCGTTCTTGGTGGGTCCTTGATTCTTTGAGTTCTGGTGATGGGGAAAAGTTGGGGGCCGCGCTCGTGATTCACCTGGCGATGCAATGAGAATCCGGGCCCAAGAGCCCGAGGACGTTCACGGGGAACGACGCCAGGGTCATCCGCGGCAGCCAGCGCGTTTTGGTGGCGCGACTTTTGGCATTTGGGATAAACGAGCCCCTTTCATGCCACCCGCGCCCCTCGCGCCAAGCGC